TGATATTACAGGGATAATCACCAGGTTTTTAACTTAATGATTTGTGAAAAATAACAATACTGGGTTTAATTTTAGTGGAAATGATATTACAGGGATAATCACCAGGTTTTTAATATGATTTGTGAAAAAAAACAATACTGGGTTTAATTTTAGTGGATTGATGTGAAGTAATATTCACCAGGTTTTTAACTCACTGATTTGTGAAAAAAAACAATACTGGGTTTAATTTTAGTGGATTTGATGTTGAAGTAATATTCACCAGGTTTTTAACTCACTGATTTGTGAAAAAAAACAATACTGGATTTAATTTTAGTGGATTTGATGTTGAAGTAATATTCACCAGGTTTTTAACTCACTGATTTGTGAAAAAAAACAATACTGGGTTTAATTTTAGTGGATTTGATGTTGAAGTAATATTCACCAGGTTTTTAACTCACTGATTTGTGAAAAAGACAATACATTATTTTGTTAACTTAGCGTATCTACTGGGTTTAATTTTAGAAATCAGCAAACATAAAACTAAGCTAATGATTAAGAGAATACTTGTAACCATTGAGTGAGTGTACTGGCAAACACAAATCAGTTGTTTGCATTGTTGTCGTATATTATTACAGTGATTGTCGCTTTATGCCGATACATCATTGAATCAAGCATGAAGTGAACGACAACGGCAGGCACAAACAATGAGACAAATAACAGGAAGTAAAGGAATGTGGAATACACCATAGATCTATGAGTGTATGGTGTTTATCTTGGCATAGTGTGCAGCCATTCAATGGAATCACTCAACTGTGAAGCCATAGTCTTTTTATCACAGAGGGACTGTGACCAAGCATGGCTTATTTTACTCATAGATACAGATATAATGTCAGGATTACCCACAATGCAATGCAAATACTCAACTGTTAAGCCATAGTCTTTTTATCACAGAGGGACTGTGACCAAGCATGGCTTATTTTACTCATAGATACAGATATAATGTCAGATTACCCACAATGCAATGCAAATACTCAACTGTTAAGCCATAGTCTTTTTATCACAGAGGGACTGTGACCAAGCATGGCTTATTTTACTCATAGATACAGATATGATGTCAGGTTACCCACAATGCAATGCAAATACTCAACTGTTAAGCCATAGTCTTTTTATCACAGAGGGACTGTGACCAAGCATGGCTTATTTTACTCATAGATACAGATATGATGTCAGGTTACCCACAATGCAATGCAAATACTCAACTGTTAAGCCAGTCTTTTTATCACAGAGGGACTGTGACCAAGCATGGCTTATTTTACTCATAGATACAGATATGATGTCAGGTTACCCACAATGCAATGCAAATACTCAACTGTTAAGCCATAGTCTTTTTATCACAGAGGGACTGTAACCAAGCATGGCTTATTTTACTCATAGATACAGATACGATGTCAGATTACCCACAATGCATTTGTGTTAGGTATGACAGCAAGAAATAAACAGAAGAAAATCTGTCAAAACAACTGACAAAACAATTTCCTGGTGTGTTATGTGATGCAGTGTGTCATATAAAACTTGGTGGCCATCTCAATTTCCTGGAGACCATACAATACTGTGATACATTGTAATGAACTGTGACACACAGTAATACACTTTAATGTACTGATACACTGTAATACACTAATACATTGTAATACATTGTAATGCACTGTAATGTACTGCAATACACTGTAATGTACTGCAATACACTGTAATGTACTGTAATACACTAATACATTGTAATGCACTGTAATGTACTGCAATACACTGTAATGTACTGCAATACACTGTAATGTACTGTAATACACTAATACATTGTAATGCACTGTAATGTACTGCAATACACTGTAATGTACTGCAATACACTGTAATGTACTGCAATGCACTGTAATGTACTGTAATGCACTGTAATGTGCTGTAATACATTGTAATACACTAATACACTGTAATGTACTATAATACACTAATACACTGTAATCTACTGTGATAATGTAATGTACTGTAATACACTGTTGTACCGTGATGCACTATGATTCTTTTATTCTAGTTAATGTAAAATGAAAACTCGTTATGGCATGTGAAACTCAATTAAGATTCCACATTCTTATAAAGATTAAATTTAACTATAGAGTATTATTATTATTGAGATAATATTTCATTACACAAATATTTGTTGCTAGCGGAGACGGAAGAAATAAGCATTTTTTGGGGGTTTCAAAATGGCGTAATATTTTTAAAGTTTAATTCAATAAATTAATAAATAAATAAATTATTATTATTAATAATAATAAATAAATTAATATTTCTTAATGGATGCAGAAATATTCTAATCATAAACTGCATGAATGGAATGGCCATTTTAAAATATGTATTTTCTGCTTTTCTAATAATTGCCTGTAATTGATTAATTAATTAATTAATTAATTACGATGACAGTTCTGAACAATGAATTATGTTGTAAAACTGCAAAATTTACTGTACATGAAATATGCATTAATATATGCACGCCTAGTTTGGATCACATCACAGGAAGGTTTTTTTAGATGATTGCATGCTTGTATTTTATACTGAGTTATTAACAACTGTAAATGGGTTAATTATTCACTGGGTTTTAATTTTGCTTATTTCGCTGACTGGAAAATGTGCTAAATTAAAACCCAGTGAATATGTCAAATTTAGCATAGAACACATTATTTAAATGATAAAACCGTGAATTTAAAACCCACTGAATATGCCTGAAATGGTAAATCAGCAAAATTTAAACCCAGTGAAAATTAGTCATTTTACAGTCAGTAACTCCCTGAATACTTATCGGAACAGTTTATTTACCCACTATGAGTATCAGTACAATAAATTGCATTTTGTTTACAAACCAAGGTAGATATATTCAAGTTAATATCACACAATTCAACAGCACCATTTAACCACAGTTTATTTCAACATTTTACACCAAGTTGGTTATACCCATAATGAGTTTACCGGTAATCATTCTTTTTTGGAA